TTTAGATACAAAAGTATTGGCGATTCATTCAATAATTGTGTGATATAAAACATTACAGATCTCTTAACAACTAAGCAAATATCTCACTACAAAATGCAGATGTCTTGATGTACGTAAAAGTCTGGCAATTTGTGTGTGCGTGTGTGTGTGTGTGTGTGTGCGTGTGTACGTGTGTGTGTGTGTGTGTGTGTGTGTGTGTGTGTGTGTGTGTGTGTGTGTGTGTGTGTGTGTCTGTGTGTGTTTGTGTGTGTGTGTGTGTGCGTGTATGTGTGCGTGTAATTACCTAAGTGTAATTACCTAAGTGTAGTTACAGGATGAGAGCTACGCTCGTGGTGTCCCGTCTTCCCAGCACTCTTTGTCATATAACGCTTTGAAACTACTGACGGTCTTGGCCTCCACCACCTTCTCACTTAACTTGTTCCAACAGTCTTCCACTCTATTTGCGAAGGTGAATTTTCTTATATTTCTTCGGCATCTGTGTTTAGCTAGTTTGAATCTATGACCTCTTGTTCTTGAAGTGCCAGGTCTCAGGAAATCTTCCCTGTCGATTTTATCAATTCCTGTTACTATTTTGTATGTAGTGATCATATCACCTCTTATTCTTCTGTCTTCTAGTTTTGGCATGTTTAATGCTTCTAACCTCTCCTCGTAGCTCTTACCCTTCAGTTCTGGGAGCCACTTAGTAGCATGTCTTTGCACCTTTTCCAGTTTGTTGATGTGCTTCTTAAGATATGGGCACCACACAACAGCTGCATATTCTAGCTTTAGCCTAACAAAAGTCATGAACAATTTCTTTAGTATATCGCCATCCATGTATTTAAATGCAATTCTGAAGTTAGAAAGCATAGCATAGGCTCCTTGCACAATATTCTTTATGTGGTCCTCAGGTGATAGTTTTCTATCTAGAACCACCCCTAGATCTCTTTCTTTATCAGAATTCTTTAAAGATTTCTCAAATAATATATAGGTTGTGTGGGGTCTATGTTCTCCTATTCCACATTCCATAACATGACATTTATTAACATTAAATTCCATTTGCCAAGTGGTGCTCCATCTACTTATTTTGTCCAGGTCTTCTTGAAGGGCATGACAATCATCTAAATTTCTTATCCTTCCTATTATCTTAGCATCATCAGCAAACATGTTCATATAATTCTGTATACCAACTGGAAGATCATTTATGTACACAATAAACATCACTGGTGCAAGAACTGAACCCTGTGGTACTCCACTTGTGACATTTCTCCATTCCGATACATTGCCTCTGATTACTGCCCTCATTTTTCTATCAGTCAGAAAATTTTTCATCCATGATAGAAGCTTACCTGTCACCCCTCCAATATTTTCCAGTTTCCAGAACAACCTCTTATGTGGAACTCTGTCGAAAGCCTTTTTTAGGTCCAGATAGATGCAGTCAACCCAACCATCTCTTTCCTGTAATATCTCTGTGGCTCGATCATAGAAACTGAGTAAATTCGATACACAGGATCTTCCAGATCGAAAACCATACTGTCTGTCTGATATTATATCATTTCTCTCTAGGTGTTCTACCCATTTAGTTTTGATTAGTTTTTCCAATACTTTCACTATTACACTTGTCAATGATACAGGTCTATAATTGAGGGGGGTCTTCCCTGCTGCCACTTTTGTAGATTGGAACTATGTTAGCCTGTTTCCATACGTCTGCTACGATTCCTGTACACAGGGATGCCTGAAAGATCAGGCGAAGTGGTATGCTGAGCTCAGATGCACATTCTCTCAGAACCCATGGTGAAACGCCATCTGGGCCAGCTGCTTTGTTCTTACCGAGCTCCTTGAGCATTTTTTCCACTTCGTCTCTAGACACCTCTATGTGCTCTATGTTGTTCTCTGGAATTCTTATTGTATCTGGTTCCCTAAAGATTTCATTTTGTACAAACACACTTTGGAACTTTTCGTTTAGTGTTTCACACATTTCCTTTTCATCTTCCGTGAATGTATTTCCCATTTTCAACCTCTGGATATTATCCTTTACCTGCAATTTGTTGTTTATGAATTTATAGAATAGACCTGGTTCTGTTTTACATTTGTCTGCAATCCCTTTTTCAAAATTTCTTTCTGCCTCTCTCCTCACTGCCGTGTAGTTGTTTCTCGCATCTTTGTATCGCTGGTATGTTTGGGGGTTTGGCCTCTTCCTGTATTGATTCCATTTTTGTGTCTTTTGGTCTCTAGCCCTCTCGCAATTTCTATTGAACCAATCCTGTTTCCTAGTTCTGCATCTCTGTTTTGGTATAAATTTTTTTGTGCCTTTATCATATATTTCACAAAACTTGACATATATTTCATTCACTTCCTTGCCTAGCATCAAGTCTGTCCAATTATACTCACCAAAAAAATTTCTAAGGTCACCATAATGTCCTCTCCTGAAGTCTGGTTTTTCAACTGCTTCAACCTCCTTATTTTCTTCCAGCTTATAACGCATTGCATACTTTATTCCCAAAACGACATGGTCACTTTTACCCAAGGTAAAGGTGTGTGTGTGTGTGTGTGTGCGTGTGTGTACGTGTATGTGTGTGTGTGTGTGTGTGTGTGTGTGTGTGTGTGTGTGTGTGTGTGTGTGTGTGTGTGTGTGTGTGTGTACGTATGTGTGTGTGTGTGTGTGTATTAGGGGGGGCGTGTGTGTGTTATGTACTCACCTAGTTGTGCTTGCGGGGGTTGAGCTTTGGCTCTTTGGTCCCGCCTATATGTATGTGTATGAGTTTGTGACTATTCGCAGTCTTTTTTGATTCATCAGTTTACGCCATTTTTCGTTCAATTAAATTAAAATACAACCTACAATGAACTAAAAAAAGTGAAAGGGGGTTTACTACAAAATATATAAACAGTTCACTGGTCAACAGAGAGAATGGTTGTGGAAAAAAAACAGACTACACGATCACCATTCATAAAGAACCTTTAACTCATAAACGGATTCTCATTTTTTTTTTGCGAAAGAATCCATTCATCCCGACAATCCAATAATATATATATATATATATATATATATATATATATATATATATATATATATATATATATATATATATATATATATATATATATATATATATATATAAATAGTATCTATCTCTAAATCTATCCTACTAGATTTGGAGCAAGACAGTTTTTAGTGCAATTTACATAGAGATAAGGTCTCTAGTAGCAAAATTACCAAAAAACTTTCCATTTCGGAAATAATATTCGTATTAGCCTCACTCCCGAAAATTTCCCTAAAAAGGTTTTCTGTCACAATGAGAATTCATATGGAAATCAAGTTACGTTTTTCACCGAAAACTTCAAGAAAAGGGAGATCTAGTTTCCCTATTCTAGAGGGGAAATCTGGAAACAAAGTTTCTTCGAAAGCACAGAAACTTAGACGCCAAATATCAAAACTTTAACACTAATGCACCGATTGTCACACTGACGCGACTGAAAGCAGATAATCCAACAAAAACATGAGAAATGAATTGAAAGCAACTGCGTTCCGGTCCGTCAAAGACCCCTAATGAGGGTCCTGGACCCCTGATTAGTGTCCAGAAAGGACCATAATATCGTTGCTTTTCCCCTCATATGATATGTGGGGTTGAGCTGTTTATTTGAATATCAACGAATCTAATTGTGTTACTGGCAGTAACGTGGTATGAAACCTTCCGGAAATTAGCACTCTCTGACTCAAGAGTTAATACTACGTATTGTCGAGTTCAAAGTCTAACACTTAGATTAATCATATCAAAGCGGCTTAAGTGTTAAATGCTCTTTTTGATATATAATACACAACATGACAACATGCCAACATGCTTGACGCAACATGTGAGAGAGAACATGCCAACATGCTTGACACAACATGTGCAGAGAACTCTTGTACATCGTTGACAGGATAATCTATTGTCCATCATCGAGAGACATCAAATCAATTTGAAAACTGTCATTATTTGGAAAAGAAAAATGTATGTAAAGTAGTTAACTTTTGCCTTCTTTTCTTGAAGACGTTTGCGCTTTCTAAGTAACTCTTAACACACTATTTAATACATGTAGCAAGATCCTCTCTAATCTGTGACCCAAGTGGTAAGATCTTCTATGATCTTGGATCCAAGTAGTAAGACTCTCGCTAATCTGTGATCCAGTAGTAAGACCCTCGCTAATCTGTGATCCAAGTAGTAAGACCCTCTCTAATCTGTGATCCAAGTAGTAAGACCCTCGCTAATCTGTGATCCAAGTAGTAAGACCCTCACTAATCTGTGATCCAAGTAATAAGACCCTCGCTAATCTGTGATCCAAGTAGTAAGACCCTCGCTAATCTGTGATCCAAGTAGTAAGACCCTCGCTAATCTGTGATCCAAGTAGTAAGACCCTCGCTAATCTGTGATCCAAGTAGTAAGACCCTCGCTAATCAATGATTGCAAAACTAGCATTCTATATCACACTAAAGAGAGGAAGAGAAGAGTGTTATTACAAATAATTAAGTGTCTAAGGAACACTGATTACCATACTCCTGTATATGGATACATTGACCAGGTCACAATGAGCAGAGAACACTGGTCTGGCCTCACTGGCCAAGCTACACTGAGCAGGTTACATTTAACAACAGTGTAGCCAGTTCTCATAAGACCCACACAAAACAACACTCTGGTCAATAGTAAACAGTACACTGACAAAGTAACAGAGATCAATAGGAACATTGTTTTTTTTTGTTTCAGATTAATTGACAGAATGGCTTTTTTTTAACACTGGCCCACCCGCCAACACACACACACACACTCACACACACACACACACACACACACACACACACACACACACACACACACACACACACACACACACACACACACACACACACACACAACACACACACACACACACACACACACACACACACACACACACACACACACACACACACACACACACACACACACACACACACACACACACACACACACACACACACACACACACACACACACACACACACACACACACACACACACACACACACACACACACACACACACACACATACACACACACACATGCTCTAGCACACATTCTGCCGACATTGGAGGTCTCCTGTATATGGTCCTGGACTGGTAGGACTTCCAAAAAAGTGACTTTTATATCATGGAGGGGAAAGTCCTCTCGTAGAACGACGAAACGAACACAGATTCTAATAATAATAATACGGGAGATACGCCACCACAGAGCTACCGGGCGATAATCCACTCTAAGAGGGTTAAACATCACCTTTACTGCCACCGAGATATCCGACCCGACTCCCACCGAGATATCCGACCCGACTCCCACCGGACGATTTGATACCTTAATCCCACCGGTGGTATACAACTTCACTCGGACCGGAGGATAGTCAACATCGCTCCCCCTACCGGGTGATACGAGACGCAAGTTCTCGCATCACCCGTATTTTTGGCCGAGTGGTAGACCCCCACCTTATTCCTAATGGGAAATTAGCCCCCGGATTACTCACGTGCTGTATAGCCTCCTCGGGGCCTACGGTGTGGAGAGTTACTTTACTTCCCATTCCCACCACCGCTGTTACTCTGTGGAGAGTTACAGTGGAAGCAGTTTTCTGGAAAATGTATATCTGAATGTGATTTGATAACCCATTAACTAATAAGATTAGTTATTAAGTCACTAATATATTACATACCTACTCATAGATTTTCAAGCTGGTCGAAAAGGTGTTAATTTAGTTTAATAATAATTTATCTTCATAGAAAACAATTCCAAATCCGAGTATCGTGACCAACGCTCATGAAGAAATCATCGGCCGTTCCTAAGTGGCGTATCCCCGCGAGAGACTACGCTATACGCATAAACAAAATTACATGCTGGACACGAGGTAAAACAGCTACTGGACTGATACATGTACTGACTACCTAATGTTTCGGGTCTACATGACCTGTTCCTCTGACTTGTAGATGGAAATAGTTGTGCGTTCGATGCCTCACCATTTGAACAAACCCGCATTTGTTTGTTTTTAAGGAGGATAATGATTTATTTTGTAAGAAATTAATAGATTGCCGCATATTCCAAGTCTCATTTCACTAAATTTGTTATCGATCAACTTAGTTGGGCCGGGCATAACTTGGCACTCCCCTGAGCGGCACTTCTTGCTTGGCACTCCCCTGAGCGGCACTTCTTGCTTGGCACTCCCCTGAGCGGCACTTCTTGCTTGGCACTCCCCTGAGCGGCACTTCTGGCTTTGGTTCAGCCGCAGTTAAGTTTGCCGGAAATGGTACTTCTTATGCAGCGTCGTATTTCGCGGGATATTCTATACTCTACGAATATGCAACAAACCATTTCAGAACATAATAAGATAACGTGTTCTGCAGAATTGTTTCACTGGATAACGCAGTTTTGGCTTCCACACACACATATATATATATATATATAGGTCCGAGCCACGAGATGCTAAGAGGTCCACAACAGTGTTAAGGCAGGTAAACAATGTCTCTCTGCCCTTTACACAGAACAATAGTATATTTTTTACAGTGAGCTATATTTTTCATATTATAAATTTTTACAATATTTAGTAAATAGTTCATTAAAGTGGATGCAATATTGACAAGACAAAGAGACCAAAATTAGATTGTTGTTTTGTCGTGTTTAAAGCAGAAAAAAACAGAATAAGGGAGATTTCTTTTGACAGCTTAATGCTTTAGACAGAACATATTTGTTATATCAATATATTGTTGTTTTCTAAGAAAATACAGATAAATAATTGATATTGATACAAGCATACCAAGCAAAGAACTTCAAAAATTAGTCAATGTTCTTGATATTACGACGCTAAACTCGAGACGTGGACGACAGCCTGACGCACCACTGCACCTTACCAAGCTCCACGGTATCATCTAGAAGCTGAAGGTGACACTGAAGGTGACACTGAAGGTGACACTGAAGGTGATAATGCAGGTGCAGGCCCCTCGGGCTGCCGGTTGCCCACGTAATAGACCTTTCTGGTCACAGACTCCAAAGTGCACTGCGAAGCGTGTTGCAACTCGCCCTCTGCCGGGGTAGAAGGAAACCCTCACGGCCCCTTCGGGTAGTTGGTGGTGTCCTTGAAGACCCAGGTGGTGGTGGCGGCCGCCCGGGACGGTGCAGAGGGCGAGGGCCGGGCTCAGAGCTCTCGCAGCAGTTCTGGCGGCTGCCGTGGTGGCTTCTTCAACACAGAGTACTGGGAACCCCACTCGAGCTCCTCAGCAGGACCGCAGATCTTGTAGGCGCAGCAGGCGACCACACACAGCGCCATCAACGCCCCCAGACACATAGCTGTCAGCTGCATGGCTAGCACGATCTCTGTCAGACACACGAGATTAATATTAAAAAGTATTCAGCATCGTAACTTGCGAATTCTGCATTTCATGGTTAAAAAGACGCCAAACCTGAATATATAAGTAAGGGTTCTTAAAGGCTCACACCACACCAGCTATATCATCATGCGCATAAATTTATAATTTAAACAGTTTTAATTATATGAACAGGTCAAAACAAAATATATGTATGGCTTTGGAACGTCTGGGATTCAGAAAAATTGAAAGATTACACTAACTTCCCAAAAATGTAATATAAAACCTAATTTTATGAAGTTTACAATTAATGCTATTAATGTTATCTTGTACATAATCTAACATAATACAAATTTAATATAAGATTTGTATATATACACACACACACAATTTATATGCGTTTATAGAGAAACAACGAAGCGTGCGTAAGCCTACTGCTCCATATATAAAGCATAATTCATATTTAATTGAAAATAATTTTTCACTCTGTAACTATTTTTACATTTTATTAAATTATTACATTATCCTCATAAATGCTAGCTGCTAATATAACCCATTCATCGACAACTCCATTTCGTGTTGCATTTAATTTAAATCTGATGTCTTCAATATATATTTGTAGCGAGGTCTATCGCAGTGTGAAAAGGAAAGTTACTTATTTATCTGCCCGTTGTGAATGCCCTTCATGAACTGTAGTCCTCAGAGATTGGTTGGCCGAGAGAGTCCTGGGTGACCACAGTCTGAGTAAGTCAAACGTGAAGATTCCTCCCGTAGACTTGTTCGTCATTTTAAGTACCCATATTGTGACACTTTTCATATAGTCTAGGGTAGCTGCATTATTCACATCTGCTTAGTTTTTTATAAAATAAAATTTATATTTATAATTTAATAATAATAATAATAATAATAATAATAATAATAATAATAATAATAATAATAATACGAATAATAATAATAATAATAATAATAATAATAATAATAATAATAATAATAATAATAATAATAATAATAATAATAATAATGTGAAAATCAGTATTAGTTATGAGAAGGATTCGAACCTGTGCTCTGGTTTCTCCCATACATATGGCTCCTGGTTTGGTCATTGATACATTACGTTAATATGTTTTCTCTGTGAGATAATAATAATGATAACAATTATAAAAAAGTAGTAATAATAATAATAATTTTTACAGTGCGAGTAATGACAATTAAATTATATATTATATATATATATATATATATATATATATATATATATATATATATATATATATATATATATATATATATATATATATATATATATATATATATATATATATATATATATATATATATATATATATATATATATATATATATTTATATATATATATATAATTGCATATATTGCATATTGTCCTGGGGACCATAGGCTTCTTCGCATATATATATATATATATATATATATATATATATATATATATATATATATATATTATTGTTTTTATTGTCATTGCCTACAATGAAATAATTTATTTCATTGTATTAAGATACATAGGTAAATAATCATTTACGTTGGTACTCAAGGCTGTATGAAAGGGTCTCAAAGCTTGTCTATGTGAAACTATTGTGGACTATATGAAGGGTTACACAGTTTGTGTCACGCCTTAGCTATGTGATACTAATAATCACCATCTCGCATGATAGACATTCAGGCACAAGTGATCACTAGGCCTTCACTTGGACCTAATTCCTGATCACGCAATTGAATGTTACGGTATAAAAGTCTACGTACTCAGCCCTTCACATTTTACTTACTTTGTTAGCGTCCAATTATTCATCACCAGCCAATCTTATTTCTAACGATTTCAGTTCACTACTAACCATTTCAGGCTATATTTCTGTGCCAGAAGACTGATATCTCATTTTACGAGGTCTTCTATTCCAGGCTACAGCTTCAAATACCTAACTTTCGGACCATCTACCGCAACAACAACTCCAAAGCTCACGTTTCCAGGTCTCGTCTCTTAGCTTACAGTTCCATCACTCACCTTCCCAGGTCATTTCCTGAGGTTACAGGTCCATCACTCACCATCCCAGGTCATTTCCTGAGGTTACAGGTCCATCACTCACCATCCCAGGTCATTTCCTGAGGTTACAGTTCCATCACTCACCATCCCAGGTCATTTCCTAAAGTTACAGTTCCATCACTCACCTTCCCAGGACATTTCCTGAGGTTACAGTTCCATCACTCACCTTCCCAGGTCATCTCCCGGGAGACGGAGTTGGAGATACCATTGTAGCCTCCTGCGCCCCCCGATCCCTTGCCTGCCTTACCTCCGCGGGCATCTCCTTCATGGACGCCTGCAGGAGGAAGAAAAGGGAAAATGTTCAGGTGTTGTTTGGGCGTCTCGGTCAACATGTGTGGTTGTCTGTGTAGAAGGAACGAAAGTGTTTCATAGCAACACAACCTAACCACAATGTTATTTTTAACGTTGAAGCAGCATTGCTTCGATGGTGTGTTTTGTGTTCGTGGTGAGTTGTGGTTAGGTTGTGTTCTTAGTGGGTTGGTGGGGAGTCCTTGACAGTCAGTGAATTGCGAGTCTGTTTTTTATTTAACGTCTGTCGATGCTGTAACTTTTCTGTGTTAACATAAAAACATTTGTTGTGAATTTTGTCTGAAGTTAAATTTCAATGTGATATTGACAATTTGAAATTACATGTGATTTAATATGGTTGGTCCGTTCAGGTATTCTTAGTTAATTTAAATTTTGTTTAAAAGCTTTTATATATATATAAATAAATATATATATATATATATATATATATATATATATATATATATATATATATATATATATATATATATATATATATATATATATATATATTATGTGTGTGGGTTTTTACTATTTGTATGTACTATTTGTGTCAGCCAGAAACAAAGGTTGAAACAAGGTTCAGTTGACACACTTGACCTATTAGGAAAAAAGCAAAATAACACATAATATGCGAACAAAATTTGATAATAATTTCTAACCTGGTGTGAGAGAGCTTGTGATCTCAGATAGAACACTCACATGCTTAAATAAAACTTTGACGCAACCGAATTTATGAAGCACCAAAAAAATATAAATGAAAACAAATAAGGTTACAACAATCACTGACTAATTATTAAAGAAATCAAATAATAAGAGAAGAAAAGAGCTTCATTAAAGAGATAAATTTATCAGTAACAATCTTAATATCTGGATTATCTGTTAGTTACACTGAAATATAAAAAAATGTAACTGAATTCTTAAAGTCCTGTCCAGAACCCTGAAGATTTACAACATCGCATTTATAACATCTATAACATCGTTAACATATGTCAACAGATGATAGAAATCCCTTAGCTTAAAGGATGTAATTATTTACCCAAGGCCTCGTCTTTAAGAGGATGGACGGGAAATGTTTTGCTAAACCATTTATGGGGAGACAAAATATTTTATGGTTCTTTCAGTAAGCAGAATCACAAGTGATGAACACTGGTTATCTTGAGATTTTAAGCAGATGGAGTCATATAGCCGAGAGTAGATATAGTAGCTTGTTCTGCCCAAGTTGTGGTGTGACCACGAGGAAGGTTGTTTCAGAGGTTGTGACCATTATAAAGGCTGTTTTAGAAGTTGTGACCATTATAAAGGTTGTTTTAGAAGATGTGACCATTATAAAGGTTATTTTAGAAGTTGTGACCATTATAAAGGTTATTTTAGAAGTTGTGACCATTATAAAGGTTATTTTAGAAGTTGTGACCATTATAAAGGTTAGTTTAGACGTTGTGACCAATATAAAGGTTATTTTAGAAGTTGTGACCATTATAAAGGTTATTTTAGAAGTTGTGACCATTTTAAAGGTTGTTTTAGAAGATGTGACCATTATAAAGGTTATTTTAGAAGTTGTGACCATTATAAAGGTTGTTTTAGAAGATGTGACCATTATAAAGGTTATTTTAGAAGTTGTGACCATTATAAAGGTTATTTTAGAAGTTGTGACCATTATAAAGGTTAGTTTAGACGTTGTGACCAATTTAAAGGTTGTTTTAGAAGATGTGACCATTATAAAGGTTATTTTAGAAGTTGTGACCATTATAAAGGTTATTTTAGAAGTTGTGACCATGAGGAAGGTTGTTTTAGAAGTAGTGACCATGAGGAAGGTTGTTATACGAGTATTATGGCTTTTTTATATTTAAAATCAGAGCTTTTAGGAGAAGGGGGATTATATGGGACAAGGCTCAAGAAAACAAATACATTGATACAATTTGGTGTTCTAGACATAAGAGTGGCTGCTGCTGCATGCTGTGAGGAGTAAGCAACAAGTGCACGTCTTGACGTAGACTGATACGTCGTAGGGTAAACAGCGGGGGAGGGGGGGGATGGGAAGCAAGGAGGTGTTGTAAAGACTCAAGGCTCTTGGTGTATTGCCTCTAAGCTAAGTAACGAGTGGGGTAAGTGAGGGTGTGCTGCCTCTTGTGTAAGGTAACACGTTAACGAAGTGAGGGTGTGCTGCCTCTTGTGTAAGGTAACACGATAACGAAGTGATGATGTGGTCCCTCTAGTCTAGGGTACCTACCACATGGGTAGGTGAAGGTGTTTTGCCTCTAGTATAAGGTAACACAAGAGGAAGGGGGTGAGAGGGTGCTGCCTCTAGTCTAAGGTAACACGAGGGGGCGTGAGGGTGTGCTGCCTCAAGTATAAGGTAACACAAGAGGAAGGGGGTGAGAGGGCGCTGCCTCCTTTCTAAGGTAACACGAGGGGGCGTGAGGGTGTGCTGCCTCTAGTATAAGGTAACACAAGAGGAATGGGGTGAGAGGTCGCTGCCTCTAGTCTAAGGTAACACGAGGGGGCGTGAGGGTGTGCTGCCTCTAGCATAAGGTAACACAAGAGGAAGGGGGTGAGAGGGCGCTGCCTCCTTTCTAAGGTAACACGAGGGGGCGTGAGGGTGTGCTGCCTCTAGTATAAGGTAACACAAGAGGAATGGGGTGAGAGGTCGCTGCCTCTAGTCTAAGGTAACACGAGGGGGCGTGAGGGTGTGCTGCCTCTAGCATAAGGTAACACAAGAAGAAGGGGGTGAGAGTGCGCTGCCTCTAGTCTAAGGTAACACGAGGGGGCGTGAGGGTGTGCTGCCTCTAGTATAAGGTAACACAAGAGGAATGGGGTGAGAGTGCGCTGCCTCTAGTCTAAGGTAACACGAGGGGGCGTGAGGGTGTGCTGCCTCTAGTATAAGGTAACACAAGAGGAATGGGGTGAGAGGTCGCTGCCTCTAGTCTAAGGTAACACGAGGGGGCGTGAGGGTGTGCTGCCTCTAGTATAAGGTAACACAAGAGGAAGGGGGTGAGAGGGCGCTGCCTCTAGTCTAAGGTAACACGAGGGGGCGTGAGGGTGTGCTGCCTCTAGTGGAGACTCTAACTGGTCGTTAGTACGTCATCAGAAGTTGTAATGACTTGTAACTAAGCGGCAATATGATAGAGAAAAGGGACGTCAACAGAGCAACGTTAACATACGTCAACAGGGTAACGTTAACACACGTCAACAGAGTAACGTTAACACACGTCAACAGAGTAACGTTAACATACGTCAACAGGGTAACGTTAACACACGTCAACAGGGTAACGTTAAAACACGTCAACAGAGTAACGTTAAAACACGTCAACAGAGCAACGTTAACAAACGTCAACAGGGTAACGTTAACACACGTCAACAGGGGTAACGGTAACACACGTCAACAGAGTAACGTTAACACACGTCAAAAGGATGACGTTAACACACGTCAACAGAGTAACATTAACACACGTCAATAGAGTAAGGGTAACACACGTCAACAGAGTAACGTTAACACACGTCAAAAGAGTAACGTTAACACACGTCAACAGAGTAACGTTAAAACACATCAAAAGGGTGATATAACAGACGTCAACAGAGTAACGTTAACACACGTCAACAGAGTAACGTTAACACACGTCAACAGGATGACGTTAACACACGTCAACAGAGTAACGTTAACACACGTCAATAGAGCAACGTTAACACACGTAAACAGAGTTACGTTAACACACGTCAACAGAGTAACGTTAACACACGTCAACAGAGTAATGTTAACTCATGTCAACAGTGTAACGTTAACACACGTCAAAAGAGTAACGTTAACACACGTTAACAGGGTAACGTTAACAAACATCAACAGGATAACGTTAATACAAATCAATAGGGTAACGTTAACACACGTCAAAAAAGTAACGTTAACACACGTCACCAGAGTAACATTAACAAACGTCAAAAGCGTGACGTTAACACACGTCACCAGAGTAACGTTAACACACGTCAACAGAGTAACGTTAACACATGTCAACAGGGTAACGTTAACACACGTCAACAGAGTAACGTTAACACATGTCAACAGGGTAACGTTAACACACGTCAACAATGTAACGTTAACACACGTCACAGAGTAACGTTAACACACGTCAAAAGAGTAAGGGTAACTCAAGTCAACAGGGTAACTAACACACGTCAACAGAGTAACGTTAACACACGTCAAAAGAGTAACGTTAACACACATCAAGAGAGTAACGATAACACAAGTCAAAACGGAAAGTTAACACACGTCAACAGAGTAACGTTAACACACGTCAACAGGGTAACGTTAACACACGTCAACAGGGTAACGTTAACACACGTCAACAGAGTAACGTTAACACATGTCAACAGGGTAACGTTAACACACGTCAACAGAGTAACGTTAACACATGTCAACAGGGTAACGTTAACACACGTCAACAATGTAACGTTAACACACGTCACAGAGTAACGTTAACACACGTCAAAAGAGTAAGGGTAACTCAAGTCAACAGGGTAACTAACACACGTCAACAGAGTAACGTTAACACACGTCAACAGGGTAACGTTAACACACGTCAACAGGGTAACGTTAACACACGTCAACAGGGTAACGTTAACACACGTCAAGAGATTAACGTTAACATACGTGAAGAGATTAACGTCAACATACGACAACGGGGTAAAGTTAACAAACGTCCACAGAGTAACGTTAACGTACGTCAACAGGCTAATGTTAACACACGTTATAGTTAACATAAGTCAACAGGGGAATGTTAACACATGTCAACAGGGTAACATTAACACGTCAACAGAGTAACGTTAACACACGTCAACAGGGTAACGTTAACACACGTTAACAGGGTAACGTTAACACACGTCAACAGAGTAATGTTAACACACGTCAACCGGGGTAACGTTAACACACGTTAACAGAGTAACATTAACACACATCAACAGAGTAATGTTAACACACGTCAACAGAGTAACGTTAACACACGTCAACAGAGTAACGTTAACACACGTCAACAGGCTAACGTTAAGACACGTTAACAGGGTAACGTTAACACACGTCAGCAGAGTAATATTAACACACGTAAACAGGGTAACGTTAACACATGTTAACAGGGTTACGATAACACACGTCAACAGAGTAACGTTAACACACGTCAACGGAGAAAAGTTAACAAACGTATAACGGGTGACGTTGACGTCAACAGTGTAACGCTAACACACGTCATCAGGGTGATTTTAACACAAGTCAACAGAGTAACGTTAACACACGTCAACAGGGAAACGCTAAAACACGTCATAAGGGTGAAGTAACAGACGTCAACAGAGTAACGTTAACACACGCCAACAGGGTAACGTTAAAACACCTCAAAAGTGTTAAGTAACAGACGTTTACATAGTCA